TAACAATGAGTTAATCAATTATAAGGTTACAATATTTGTATTGGTTAGAATTGAAATTAAATTTTGGTATAAAATTATAAATAACTTTTAGTATGTTCTGTTTAAATGTTTATATGTCATTATTTCTTTAATTGTTGAAAATTATGTGTAATAATTATATGGTTAAATTTTACTTTAGGGGACTAGAAATTATGCATTGTTTTTTGGTAATCTGACAGATTTTGATGAGTTGAAGCCAAAAGTGCAATTTTTATCTTAAAAATTCACAACGCAAACACAAATCCAACAACTACTGATTCAAATTTTTACCTGAGAATTTCTGGATAATACTTTCACAGAAGTGAAGATGAGATGTACTTCTTTCCGCCATGCTAGTCGCTTAAAAATCGATCGTGAGAAATATCGATTATGTTTAAGAATCGTAGTTAATGTATTGTGTATTTCTCCGTTGGCGCTGTAATCTTGAACTAACCTAAACCCAATACGCGTTTCATGCTCGGAATGAAAAATAAAAAACTCTGGCCTACATCACATTCACGTAAGTCCTATTAATTTAATGAACATAAATTATAAAATAATTGAAGTACGAATATAACATAATGAAGTAATCTTCATGACTAAATATGACATTATTTAATTTCGTACAAAAATGCGCGCAATAATTTCAACTGCAGTAAAGATCACAGCGCCAATAAGGTGGTGAAATTTCGCAATTATGCATTGTGTTTCTCGAATCGATATTTCTTGTAATCGATCTAATCTAATATTGTGATGTAACGTAAAACCGTCAGTTTTAGGTGGGAACGTGACAGGAAACGTAGTAAAAAGATGCTTATCCAGAAATTATCGAGTGAAAGTTACCGGTAAGACTTGGTTTTGTATTATGGAATATATCTACGATTGAAAACGGTGAGCATTATCTAAAAGAGTTATTATATATATGTATTCAATCATGAGCGTGATTTGTTACAGACATTTCCAACCGGTTTCTATTCAATGATATTTACAATAATTTTCTCTGGACTACGATTACATACGTCGCTCTTCGCATCTAATTGTAAGTCGCATGTATTTTTATTCTTCTGGTCATTTAATTATGATTATTTAAATTATTATGAATAAAAGTAAGAATTAATCTATTACTTTCAAAAATGCACCAAACACTTATACCGTCGTATTAAATCAAAAGGAGATTATCTGCAATTTTCGCTTAAATAGTTTATCTAAACGTATATAAGAAAATCTTAATTACATTAAAACTGAAGATATAATAATTTATATTTCGAATGTATATGAAAAAGATTGTTAAATACTAAAAATCTTTTTTCTAAAGTCGTTTGTCAAACTACTCTTTGACCAGATATGCCTATTTGAATTAACATGGCAGTATATAGTCGGAATGCAAGTTTCCCGTAAAGTCGCAGAATAGATGTGATATTTTATGAAAGTTCATGTCACACGTCCTAAAATACCAACATGGTGAAGAAATCATTAGCACAGACATATCTCGTCTATGATCTAATCTTTCGGCTATCAGTAATGCTGAACAATTGATTAAAATATCATAGAAATGTATTAGTGACTCGATTGTTGACAAATAATTAATTAAAATTTTTAAATAGTACTTAGAAATGTTATAGAAGAGAATTAATTGCTTAATTCTTAGAAATATATCATTAGAAACATTAGATAATTTAAACAATTAGAATATTCAGAAATATTCAGAAACTATTTAAAGTCTCATACTTACAAAACTTTTAATTCTAAACTCGAAGTTGAAATAATTTTCTCTGGCAGAAAGAAAAAAATTTACATATTATTTCTATACTTCATGTAATATTTTCTCAGTTTCTTAATTTTCTCTTGCTTAATTCATGTTTTATTCGATTTTAAATAATATTTCAATATTGTATATATAATTAATATATAAAATGTACAAAAATATTTATTCTTCATGCATTGATTTATTCAATGTTATATATTAAAAATAGCTAAGAGAATATTTCTTTTAAGGATATCTTTGATATACTCCAATACTTCCAGCGAGGGTAGCAAGGGTTTTTGTTTTATTATAACATCCAAGAATACACTATAATTGGCAAAGCATATTTACAAAGCATATAATGAATATACTAATATTATACTAATATTACTTTGGTAAAACTGAAATTACAATTATTTTTTTAATCAATTCAATAACATAGAGCCTTTATTGTAAAAATGGAAGATTAAAATAATTCTAAACTTTGTACTACATGATTTTCTTGAAATCGCCTTGGAAATTTCCGTAACTGCAAAAGTAAGTAGTATTTTAGTTTCACCATATCATATCAGTTTCGGATTTCGTTCGAGCCAAAGGGTTTAGACATAAACTTTTAAGAACTTGCACAGCCTCCTCTCCATCATCTCTCGCATACAAAGTTTGTCGTTTGGCGCTTCCAGTCTCGAACGATTTTCTACGAAAGCTACCAATCAGAGTATTTTCTTTATCTGTTCTTCCATGCGATCTTCCCTTTCGTTTCATAGTACTTTTCGATGAAAATGTACCAATCCTCTTAGCTTTGAACGAAGGTCTATGTCTCCTCTTCTTTCGAACTTTCTCATCCATTGCTGGTTCCAAAGAAACTAATGATTTTATCGATGGATAATCTATTTTCTTATCAGACTCATTCAAATCTAGTGGTCGATTCTTTTTAGAAATGCTCTGATTCGTTGGGATTTTTCTCTTCGGATGAGTTCGATGACGGAAATTGATGGAAGAGCGCTGTCCTTTGAAAATTGGTCTCAATGTTCCTAAAACTCTACCTTTGACTCTCAGAGGTTCCAATAATTCATGATCGTGCCAGGAAGCAACTACAGGCAAGCCACATGCATTATGCATGCCTACTAATGGTACACCAATGGCTCGGTGCTTTTTTATTTCAGGAAACACTTGATACGTGTCGAAAGTTTCCCAGTTATGACTACTACGCTTGGCATTTTCCTCGTATGCCGATATCTTTTGACCAACGTGTCCACGTTCCAGATCAATGGTCCCCCATTTACTTCTCACTCGTGCCTCCTTATTTTTCGAACGTTTTGAACCTTCGTTCTCTATCGTTTCTTTATTAGATTGTTCCTCGATTTTCGCACGGTCTCCTTTCGATCTTCGACGAGCAGCATTCAATTTTTGAAAGGAAGATTTGCGAAAATAATCACCGAAATCGGTGAAATCCTGATCGTTCTTTCGCATGGAAACATTATGATCGCTTCTGACCATCCTCCTGTCTAACGTTTTTAACTTCGAATTGACTTTCCGGTGTCCACTTTGAACTTCACACTGGTAGTCGCAGGAGTGACAGGATCTCCTGGATGGATTCAAGGTTTCCGAACGTTTCGAAGCCGCGACTGATCGTCGAATTTGAGGCTCGAACTCGTTTTGCGGTGAAGACACGGTCTTGTATTTCGTTACGTAGAAACTCTTGTCAGGCTCGGATATCGAAGATTCAAATTGAAACTGAGGTGCCTCCGATCGTCTAAGTGTACCAATGTTGTGCGCTATCGAAGCCTGATAATTTTTTATCGGAATACTCCTAACGGTGCCGCTACTCTGGTGGGATTTCGACTTAGACGCGTTCTTTTTATCGTTGTGAACTTTTTCCAGATCGTTCTTTTCTTTGGGACAACTTTTGAGAAAATAGTCTGGCACGACGTCTATCGCGCGTTCCTCGTACAGTTGATCGCTTCGTAACACGTTCTCGTTGAATTTCGAAGGGTTCTTCCATTCTTCGATTATGCTCTTGCTAAATCTCCTTACGTCGTTAAGTCTAGACAAATCC